AATCACATCTGCATAACCATATATTTCCCAAGATACAATGGATGACTATTTAACGACTGTATAAATTTTCAAAGATAGTATTATCAGTCAGTTGTTGACATTAACTACTGTTTAAATTTTTGGAAGATTATTTTACCCATGCTTCCTGCAATTTTGATTGGCAATTACTATTATGCTGCCATTGTCATAAACATGAAAATGTCCAAAGGTGGACAGAAAGGTTTTCATAAAGAGTTCCTAAAATTAAAACTAGATGACCAATTCTTTGTATAATTTGAAATTGTACATCACATTTTGCTGCTGTTTGGTATATAACTTTAATATTCAGTAAAATAATACATGTATTTACTTAAGACTTGAATGTTGTGCAGGAATCATTGGCCTTTGTGCTTGAGTAGACTTGGTGGGGTGCTCGACTTTGTCGTTGGCCTTATTTTCTCCATTTCATAATAAAGCAGATATATTCATCTGTAACTTCCTATAATTTAACATATGATTCTACATTTTGAAAGTGTGGTATCATGGTTGGATTTTGTGGTCAAGTACTTAATTATTGTGAGTTTTATGTCATAGTGAGCATATATGCATTTTTGAACATATTATTATCTTCATCTGAGCGCGCGGGTTTCATCTATGAAATCACTAATTAATATTTGATTTCTATAACCTTGGCCTCAACTACAGAGATTTGAAAACTTATATAGCAATATTTTGTACACTTGGTACTCTTGTAGAAATTGGATTTGTTCAAATTAAATGTACACTGGGACTCTATTGTTTTTGAAAGCACGTAAGTCTTTAATCATGAATCATTATGTTTTAGTAGAACTATTTTTCAAATATTTAGTTCACATGATTGAATATATAAGTTCTTTATTATATTTTTGTCCAGGTAAGGATGGAGATTTTTTTTTTTTTTTCCAGNAGATTCATTATATTATTTTTAAATCGCGGAAAGAACAAATTGATTCTTATATGTTTTTCCATTGATTTTTATGCAAAATTGGTTTTGCCTGCATCTACATAACGGTAATGCACAACTTTTGTTAGACTATGCATTACGACGGGAACAAATACGTAATAGGTCAAATGTTCCGTAATATATAAAACATATTTTTGTTTGTATTATTTTTTCTTAAGTTATTTTTATCATTTAAAATTAGTTGAGATTTAAATTTTATTTTAACCATGCAACGTTACTATGAATAAAATAATTTATATATTTGTGACATATATTAAGAAAATTAACATAAATAAAAGAAGTTATTGATGTTTCTGATTTTTAGAAAGAAAAAAAATATGTGCCAATCATATTTTTCTTCCAACAATGCAACCAAATATAGCGGTTATACCTCTGAATGTGTCGATCAACTTTAAGTTCCAACATTAGCTGTTACACATTTGAATATTTTGCTACCACATTTAGAATTAATTTAGTATATCTTTTAAGGCGTAACGGTTTTACCATATTAGTGAGTAATTAATTAAAAAAAATATAACTCATTTTGGAGGAAAATGAAAATAAGTTTATTAAATGTTTTATTAAATGCATCAGCTAGTAATTATATATATATAGATTTGGAGTTTAGATTGCTTTAGTCTTGCGACTCTTTTTATATTTTATTATAATTATTAGAAGACAAAATTGTTAAACAAATCAAGTCTTTTACTTCAACTAGTAAGTATTTAGTGCGGAGCACGAAAAATGAAATTATGAAAAAATTTATAAATTATATGTATAAATATTATAAAATACAGTTTAGAGTTCTTGCTCGCTTGACCTCGATCTTGTCACTCTACAAAAAATCGACCTCCGCTTCTTCCATGTTAATGTACTTGTTGCACTTGAACAACAGTTCATCAAAACACTTCGCCGACATCTTTGCCAATGAGTTTCTGCATGGACTAGGTATGAGACCTCTGGTAAGACCTCCTGCCCTGATCTTCTCGGAGGCTGAGGGGGCCTCCACACCCTCTCTAGCATATCGAGCTACATATTCTTGGAGAGTCTCCCCCCTCCTCTTGTTGCTTGCTGATTAAGGTTAGGTAGGTCTTTTCATGCTTTATTGTGCTGGAGAACTGGTTGATAAATTGAGAGCTCATCCTCCCAAAACTGTAAATCGACCTGGCCGGTAACTGATGGAACCAATCCTATACCGATCCCTTCAAGGTAGTCAAGAATGTCATGCAGCACACTTCATCACTATGACGGTCCATGACTGCTATTTTCTTAAAAGACATGAGATGACTGGATGGATTGGTTGAGCCGTCATAAGACATGCTTAGCTTTCGGAGATTGTATGGTAAATCGACCTCAAGAACCTCCTCCGCAAATGGGTGGCCTTGAATTCGAGGTGCTATCATGCCCTCTACACGGGCATGTAGCTGCCTCATTTGAGCTTCCAACCTCTCAAGTGTAGTGTCCCTGGCTGGTCTTAATACTGTAGTTGGTGATGCTTCCGACCTCACCTCCACCTCCTGGTTGTGGCTACGAGACTATCGGGTTTGCCCAGCAAGGCGCCTGGGCTCAGGCCACAGCCTCGGCTAAAATCCAGTACAACTCTGCTAGCTGAATGACTTGTCTCCCCTGGGGACCTCCTGCCCCTTGGATTCTTCAATTGTCCATCCACCTGCTCCTGAGGTTGATTGACCCCTGAATCATCCTGATGTCGAAATCCAACCTCCCCCACGACTACTTATTTTTGCACATCTTGCACCCCATTCCCCTAATGGATGGCCATTGGCTCCTGCCTTGCCGGAGGTCCCCCTAGTGCGTTCGACGCCAGAGTTAATAAGGTGTGCGGCACAAGCAACCTCATATTGGGCGTCACCTGTGCGTTGGATTGTTTCGAGAAACCTGGTGAAAGTCCTATTCCCAGAGGAGCTCACGACACCCATGCCTCCTCCATAACTTCGGTCAAATATTTCTTGGAGTTGTCTCTCGCCATGATCTTTGAACATCTGAAAAATCTTCTTGTGAGAAACAAACTTAGTCCCTTATAGCCGGTAAAAGACTAGGTATTCTCTACAGATGACGCCAATTTCATACGCAAGTTATCGTTAGACCGGGTTAAATAGAAATGTTGCCGGAATCTTCTTTGCTTATTAAGAAATTCAAGAGAAAAAAGAGAGAGAACGAGATTGAGAGAAGAGCAAGAGTTGGTAACATAAGTGATAGTACAAAAATGATGTTGACTTTAAACATTTAATAATAGAAATATAAAATAAGTGTAAATTAATCTTTTTTTTTTTTATCGGTAAAATAAATTTTATAGATCAAAACTGATGGTACATCGACCGTCCCACGGCATACAAAAGCAAAGTGGGCAGTCACAATCTCGGCTCCTCACTCGCTAATCAAAATTCTTTTTCTCTCAATCCCCCAATGCAAGATATTCAACCAAAGTCTGAGACTTTTCTCTCAAACTCGGCAAGTACATACGAATACACCGGGAATATTATGCGATAAACACGGGTTGTAATGTTGCGTACCTTAAGGAGGTTTAGCCTAGTCATTTACAAGGGTATTTTTCTCCACTTCGGCAAGGACATTCGGGTACAAAGCAAAAATATTCCTGTAGACATGGGTTTGAATCTTCCGAACAATGAGCTCTGGAGTTTGTACTTCGTTTTCGAATATCTTCCTATTTCGAGCATTCCAAAGAAAGTACACTGTTGACGCGAGCCTGACCTTCTTTTCTTTTGTTCTCCAACCGGAGCCTTTGGATTCCTTCTTAATCCACTTCAATGCACTCTTTAGAGTGGGGAGTTGACGTCGCAATCCTAGCCAATGTCAGATGCCAATTCAAACTTGAGCCGAAAGGGGGCAAGTGAAAAAGAGATGATCATTGGTCTCGGAAGCTTCCCCACAAAAGGCACAAGTAAGGTCGAGATCAATGAAGCCAAGTCTTTCCTTGGTTCGGAGCCTCCCGAGCGTTGCTAGCCAAAGAATGAAGGCGTGTTTGGGGGTGTTTGCGGGCCCCGGGCCCCCAAACCACTCCCTTCCAAGGGACGGGTGTGCCTGGGAGCCGGAAGAACTCGTACATGCATGAGGGCCCCTTGGAGTGAGATTTGGAGTCCCAAAGTCTAAGAGCGGCCTCGGCGGCTTGCATATTACCCAACTTTTCGACCATTAGATTTCGAATTTCATAGAGGTTCTTAAAAAGGGGCAAATCACTCTTATGTATGGTTCATTCCCAAATGGATTTTTGCCTTAGATAAACATGATATGACCATTTATCTTTTGTATAGAATAAAATGGGTTATAGTTAAACTTCTACAAAATATGACCATTTTTCATCTTTCTACTTGGCTAAAAAGCCGGCTCACTATTTTTGTTTCTTCTTGTGTTTGAAGAGAGTTAAATAGTGATTGGATGGTGATTATAAGTGTCGGAAAATAAAAGTTGAACTTTTTGACAAAACAAATGCATACATATGTAATAAAATTAAGACGGTATTTAGTAGAAGTTTTATTTCGTTCTTTTTACATATTAAAAATAGTAATTTTTTTTTTTTTTATATATATATCCCTCTACATCTTAATAAAGGGAGGTTTGGGTGCTCCTCTATATACTAATTTTTATTGGGCCTTTTTGTTTCCTACTTTCCATTGTCATTGTGCAGGAAACTAACATGATAAATTTGATTGAAATATGAATGTGTAATTAGTTTGTTTTTTCCCAACATTAGTTATAATCAAGACTCGGGTCTGCAGAAAATATAAGAAACGGGTACATAGAGTTAAATAAACCGCACGAATAGTTTGCCTTCTTATTATTCCGTACTTACATTAAAAAACATGGAATGCTTGAATATAAAATTGCAATATCTTAATATTCTTGTGGTAAGAGAAAAAAATGTTCAGTATTTTTTTTTTTTTTTTAGAATTTCCGTATCCAACGATTTGTTCTACACAATCCTAAAAAATTCCAAACATCATCAAGTACCACTTTATATTTTTATTTGGGCTGATTATCTACTTTTCCAACTTATTCTTAAAGGGAGTTAGTCCCTCTAATTTTAAGCAACATGACCTTATCACTAACTCTTCTATGTGTAGTTTTGAGACTTTTTTTATGTTTAATATTTTATATTGTTTCTACATTTCTTATTTGTCTAGAAAAATATCCACTGACTCAAACCTGAATGGTTTTGAAAAGGCAAACATATCGTCTTTAAGAGAAAATTGTTGTAAGTCATTGTTATTATATAATTTTAATACATCTAAAACGATAACTTTATTCATTACAAAATAGGTTGGGAGCCCGTACATGCTGAAAATTGAGATAATTAGTGTCTCTTCTGCTCAAACTAATTGCACAAGCAAAACAAAACAAATATTATATACACCATGCCGGATTTTAGGACAATAAATTGGTCATCACATAAATAATGTTTGACAAGTTGTCTTTGATTTTGAAAACTAGACGTCATATATCAACAGTCTTGCGCGAAATCAATTTTTTTACCTATTCTTTGTTCATGTTATCAATGGTTTTAGGTGCGTTTGTTAGCATAAGTCTTTTTCAATAGTCATTTGTTGCAATCTTTGATCTATTATTTAAAATTTCAGGTTATTATCTTCAAACACAAATATTTAAGTATTATGGGCCAGTTGTGCACCGCAAAACGAGCATACTCGTTTGAATTGAAAAAAATTGATTAGTCTTGGGCAGATGTTTTTTAGATCATTTATGCAAGCGTGGGGTACACCACTAAAAAAAAGCTGAAAATTTTTTTGGTTGGCACATCTTAACGTATCGACTGTGAGGGAAATTGTTGTAAGTCGTTGTTTCTCAATGATGAAATGTTATTATAAAAT